AGAGATACAGCGCAATGAGTCATTGTGTTTCCAGCATTGCGTCAAGGGTATGGAAACAGCAGTAGATGTAGTGGCTTAATTGCAATGGTACAGGTGCCAGTTGGCACTGCGTCAAACTCTGGCGTTACGCTTCAAATTTTGGATTTCCAACTAGATTCTGTTCTGAGGCAACATCAACTGACATCGCGACATAACCATCAACACCACAAGCGCCAAATTCGCATCCTGGACCTCTGAGATGGTCCGTAATGTACCTCATTTTCGTTAGTGGATTTGCAACAGAGAACAAACACCCTGGTAGCTACAGAATAGAGCATCTGATTTTGCCGCAACAAGACAGTGAGAGATGCAAAAGCGCCCAGCACAAGATTGCCCATATGGATCCTCAGTGCAGGTTGCATTTGAAGAAGTCATGTGCACAGAATATCGTAACATGAGCACCCTGGTTAACATATTGACAGCCACGCAAGTTCAGCACATGGTGCGCATTTCCTCAGACATATCATTTGCACAATGAGCGAAGAGCATCCAATGCAATTGCTGGCTGGTGGATTTATCGTATTGCGTCTCTTCGTCCTGCATGGCGATGACTGTGAGCTCCAGACTGGAGGTCACAGTCGCTGAAGTGCTTTGTTTGCCAGGGCGCCCCCATACAAGTTCACTTCTCGATACCAGCATGGTCGCCATCCCCTTCTACTGCGGGTTGAATCCACAACAAATGCCAACCCTCGTTTTCATTCGCAGCTTGCCACAGCATGTGCCACACATACCTTTCACGGCACTTTTTGAGAGCTTCACGATGTCTCTTGACCTCTCCCGAATGATCATTTTTGGATTCTGGTCCACGCCGCTCCGGTGACCCCGCCTCCAATTGGCCTTGGGAGCCACTATCTGTTGACTCCGTGCGCTGTGTATTTGCCCTGTGGAAGTGCACACAGAAAGTTGTTCTGCGCTCAGCGCAAATGCTCAGGCACAGGCCTGTTACATTTACAGCACTATTCTTACGTTTGTTAAGCGTAAAACACATAACCACAGAAACGGCTATGCTTGCGCATTTTTACGGCGCCATAAGATAACCAAGTTCTATGGTGAAGTCGCAAACAGTGATCAGCCTTCCGCCCCCTCGTGGACCCGCAACCCTCGCCACTTCGCCCTCGGCAAGGTCAACGACGTTGTAGAACAAAAGGCCGTTTCTGCCGACTCCAGGGCGGCTGGCTCCCGCTCCCCATACTCGTTGGTCCTGTATGTACTGTCTTTATGTACACCAGGACCATATGTGTGTGTTTTTGGGCCTTTTTACGAGTAAAGATGTGAATAATACTTTTACTGTAAATACGCAAATTCTTGCTGTGTTGCAGCGTAAAAACCAAGCCTGCCGAGGCACATGCAAAAGCCTCTGAATATTGTTTTAATGGGGCGCCAAGCAGAGGCTAACCTCCAGTGATAGTATTCGCCGACCCAATCGGTTGGTGTATGTCAATGTCTTCATTGTCGACACTCCACTCAGATTGTTGCATAAGACAGTCTGTACAATTTCAGACGGAAACTGCGGACGGCCGTTGACTTGCTGAGTTCGCAAATGGGGCCATGGCAGCGCAGCCCTTCGCTGAATTGGCCTGCTGCTGGCTGATTGATTTGCCGCTGGTTCCACATGGATTTGCAGAATGCCCAGCGCCTGGGCTGCGCAATCTGCACACAACATCGCAACGTCCCAACAGCCTGTGACTCCGTTTCAAGTCATGCAGTCAGGCCCGGCTGCATTCCTAAAGACGGACCGTCTGGTCCCATCATCTCTAGAGCCGCGCGCATGGATATCAGCACCAGCATACAGTACCAAGTGTTTCAATCTGCACAAGGGTCACAAGAAATCACCATGTCGGGAACTATGTCACGCATCACAGCTCGAAAATTTCAAGGAAAGGGTTCTGGGAATCAGCTATGAAGCGCAAAACCAGACGGAATTTACTGCAAATTTCGCACTGTTGAAAGATTTGACAAAATATGCAAATATGGCTAAGTTATCAAATTGTGAAGAATGTTCCCTCCTCGCTTGGAATGAGGGTGGCTGTGATGCTAGACGTTTGCCAAGGTTGTGACTGCCCAAACCGAGTCTCGTTCGTCAACACTTCCAAGTTGCGGGGTACAATACACTGTCTGGAGCCCACCCCCCCACCTCCCCCGCCACCGCCACCCCCCCCTCCACACACATTACGCAGCCTCAAAACAGCATTCCTGCTCCTGCGGAGTTGCTGTGGTTTCTACTGGCCGCTACTGTGCTGAACGGCTACACTGCAACTTGGACAAAACTGGGCAATCAGTAGTGCGCGCACGTTGGTCTCGCAGCGAGATGCTTCTTTATCCAAGTCTTTATGTTGGCTGCAACGGAGGGTGCCTTGGACGCGCCCTGCGACGGCACGCTGTACTCGGCGGGCTCCGAACGAACCCTCCTCCCAAAGTCCAGCCTGGGGGCCTGCGAGCAACCAAGGCGTCACGAAGCATCAGCGGGCGAGGAACACCGCAAGAAAGAGACACCTTGCGCACGCTCAGGCACCAAGCTGTCGATTCGAATCCTTCGCCAACGAGTCGCTGGTCGCGCCGTGCTGCCTGGTGAACATTCCCACAGCGCTGCGACCTCACAAGTCGACCGAGCAAAAGACTGTAGAAAGCACCAGAGACCGAAGCGTTCACATCCGATAAGAAGTCGCTGTGCCGGCGATGGCCTGACCAAGACCCCCGACCGATACGCCGACGATCGGGCTCGCGCACAGGCGGCTGACGAGCTGGGTTGCTCCCCTTCACACTGCGCGCCGCTGCCGTAACGGGCGAAGGGTCTCCGATCTGTGCGGGCCCCAATGCCGATGCGCTGCCCGACTTGCGAGAGGCGCCGGTATCGGGCCACGAACGCCGCCCGTCGTCGCTATCTTTGTTCGCACGGCGACCGCCCACCTCAGCGTTCCTCTCGGGCAGCGGCCCCAGCGGCGGGAGGCTCGCGCGCCTTCGCAGGCGCGCGCCCGCCAAGTCGTCGGCGTCGAAGGAGAACCCGCGGTGCATGGCTGCTCGTTGCCCTCCAGCGCCGCCCCTGGTAACGGCAGGGAAGCTGCGCACCAGTCAGGCTGAAGAGCTGTGGATGACAGGGACGGCTGGGACGGGCCGCAGTCATCGTTAGCCACCATTTCATTCTGCATGACGGAGCAGCTGGCGTTCTCTTTCTGTCTGTCGTTCTTTGCGCGATTACGACAATCGACCGTGGCTCGGTTCCATATTCTGCTTGTCAACTTCGATCACTTCATGCACCATCTTCACTGTTTCTGCTTGCATTCCTCTGCGACGAAACTGTGGCTTTCCCCTTGTTCGCTTATTTTGAAGAGTTGAAAAGGCGCCGGTGGCTTCCCAATCTCTTTTGTTGATGATGAGCTGACTGATTCATGCAAGCTGGTCGCAGTAGTCTGGATTGAGGTTGGGCGCGAGTATCAGTCCCATGACACCAGTATGAGGGAGAGAGTCGAACATGTCCTCCTAATAGTCAACCGCGAATGGCATCATCGCCAATTCCCCACAAGGTCGTTGTGCGTGTGTATGGCTGTTCATTGCATTCATTCAGCGGGTTCAAACGAGCCCAAGCAGTGGCTGGGCATTAGTGTCGAAGGGCCGAAATTCAGCGTCAATTTGAGTTCCCGAACTGGTCATGCTCTTGCCAACGAAATAGGGGAAAAGGGGAAACCCAGTTCACTGACAATAAGAATCTCTGCGACTGCAGCTACAAATGGTCCTGAGACACCAAAGACGCCTTTGTGAAATTCGGTTGTGCAAAATGATGTGCCAGCATCCCCCACAACCCTTGCAACCTTTCGCTGCACATTGCACTAGTGGTAAACTGCAAACGTGCCCTCCAAACCCGTTTCCAGGCCTGCTTACTCTATTTGCTATCCGTGTGTGCGCATGAGAAGCTACTGAGTAGCCCTTTTGCCCTTGGGATCTACGGCTGGAGCTCAAACGCGAAATTGGCATCCACGAGTTGTCAGGCCAACTCACAAAATAACAATGTGCGGACTCATAATGGACGTTTTGGTGGGAAGCTGCCACCTGTGGCAAACGTGCGGCCAGCTTCCTTGCTGCAACCAATTGGTGGGACCTTGTGTTGGATTACATCGCCCTGGCACAGCGAAACATTTCGGCGGACCTTTGTTTGCCAGGGAGAAGGATCACGGCGGAATGCAAGCGAGGCTGAAAGGGGCAAAAGAAACCCAACCAGCAATTCAGGTTACGGTGACAAATAGCCCTTCCAAAGCTTAGCCATTTCCTGCACTCCATTTCGCGATTATTGGTACAGTACAATGCGGCAGAAGGTTGCCCCGGCGCAGGGAGCCTAACGTCCATTTTCACTGTTGAAAGCGAAATTCACTACAGCACCATTGCAGCGTGATATCACAGGAGCTCCGTTTCTCCAGGCATCACAGGGCCCTGTTTTGACGACACGCTGGACAGCATCAGGAGGTAGTTCCCTTCGTGGAGTAGACCTTTGGGAAAATAAGTTCGACATAGTCCAAAGTAAGGTTCAACCTAGTCCGCGCTCATTGGATGGTACACCTGGTCCAAATTGAGGCTCAGCCTAGGCCTAATCGAGGTTCGACCTAGTCCAGCCATATGGACTTTCGACCTCGTCCAAATTGAGTGAAGCCTGGTCAATTTTCAGGTTCAGCCTAGTCCAGCCGTACAGAGCACAAGTGTCTGATACGTTCCTTTAGGAGATGAAGGCCATGAAGGTTGTTTGAACTTTTTGTTTGTGGTTTTAAGAGTGTTAAGGTTTTAGGGGTTTGTAGGTTTTCTAGTTTGTAGGGTCGAACCTCAATTTGGACTAGGCTGAGCCGCAATTTGGACCAGGTTGAGCCTCAACGCAGCGCGGTCTAGATTGAACCCCGCAATTTGGGCTGGGCATAACCTCCATCCGTAGACTATAGCCTTCAAGTACACTTCAGGAGAGCAACGCGCTTACAGAATGTCTAGGTTTCACACTGCTGCGCACGTTCTCCACCTTCGTATAGTGTATTCTTCCATTTTTGCAAGTACCAGGGTTGCAAATGCGTGCCCTTCCGTTTCCACCGGTCATCGCCAGCCACGGCCGCCAATTCGTTGCACAATGCTGACGCCAGAGATGGGGAAAGAGTGCCCCTGAGTTCCTGGACGACAAGGACAAATGCATCAACATGCATACTGACTTTACCTATGAAAGTGCTCCAAGAGGTACTGCGCCCCATAGCACATGTTATTTTGCGAACCTGGGATCATCACGCCTTCGCCATTCAGGGAGCGACTGAGCTGAAAATAAAGCAACCTTTCTCGCTTCAGGTCGCCTGCGTAATGCATATTCTTGTTCACACAGATGAGCAATCTGATAGTAATCTGGATGCCACCAAACACACTGTAAATAAATGGCAAACAGTATATGAAGATGACCCAATGGGAAGCAGTGCAACTATTCAGATAAGAGGGCCACAATCTTATGCTAGCACAAAATGTTGTTAGGGCTGCCAAGAAATTTGCCTGTATCCTTCAAATCAGGCACTGCTAGTTTCTGGCCGTTCGCTAATGTCATGCACACACAATGCGCATTGCTAAAGATGAGTTCTACAAGCCGTTGTTCCAATCCCACATTGGAACATCCCATTGTTTAAGAATGCCCTGGATCACTTTTTGCTCTTCATTGCTCCAGGGTATCCATTGCCAAAAGAAACGACGACAGCAATTTGCAGGTCCAGCAGGGGATGACGCTTGCAACAGAGAAGAAATCAGGGGGCTAGGAAATATTTCCAATCTCCTCTGGAGGCACACAAAAAGCTGGGGCGGCTCTTCACCCGCACTGGTGAAATTGTGTGAGCATGCATACATGCAGCATTCCTCAAATCAGAAACTACAGTCGAGAACAAACACCACTGCGCACTTTGATTCAATATTGCAACAAATGAATCAGCGATGGAGACCTGGTTTACCAGGGCAATTCATAATCACAACGGTGCAGTGGCCCCTAAGGGGCAGGCACCATCCAGGACATCCACACTGCTGCTGATGGTCATGGGCAGGCTGCTCATACTGTCCACAGTTGCAATGCTCAAATATGCCCTTACCATCTGGAGTGCCTCTTTGTATTGACTGGCATCCTTTCCAAGCAATCTGGTTGCCTTTGACAGCCACAACAATGCAACTGCACCCAATTGCTTATGGTCTATACTTGACAACTCTTTCCATCCTTCCTTCACATGCTTCTTCCCTGCCTTCTCTCCCAATCCTTCTCCCATGCCCAAGGCATAATATGCATGGAGCAATCGCAGTGTTTCACTGCTGTTCCCCGGACCCAGAAGATTTCTTGCAGCTCCCCAATCTCCTGCACGTGCCAGAGACAGGGAAGCTGCCCCCAGAACAATGGTCTGGGACAGATTGCCAAGTGAGGTCGTCTGGGATACTGGTGGTGGCTGGTGTGGACTCGAGATAGTACTCCTTCCAAGAATGGGGTGACCAGCAAAAGCAGGGTGAATTGGAGCAGCCACGTAAGAGGGTGGACTTGTCCTGCATATCCACCAGTCAATGATGCATGCACAGAGAAATGTGTGGTGTGGCTGATGTAACACAGTTGGCGCTCAAAGCTTTAGTGACAATTTCTAAGTACCTTCAAGAAGAGCAAATTCCACTTGTCTTGTGAATGGAGTACATTGTGTTGCATGCAACCAGGTGATTGGAGTGAATGGCACAAATGAATATACTGAAGTATCACATATGGCCCTTGCAAGATTCACGTTTCCTCTAACAGCTCGACATACACTACGGGAATGCCTATTTAGCATTCGTTTCCAGGTGCCCATGAACAATTTCCATCACTTGTATCTTCAATTTCCTGCTTCTGCATTGCCAGCAAATTAGGAAACACTAAACTTCCCTCCAGCTGAGCTTATCCATGCCATGATGGAGTTTGTATATCATGGAATCATCTAGATGTACACACAATGGCTCCACGGTTTGTAAGCCCACGGGACGCCTGTCAAGCTGTTGGTGCCCTTGGAGGAAGGGGAGTAAAACAAGATATAATTTCCTGCACACCTGCTGCAGCACTCTTATATCACAACCCGGCGATGACAATGCTGAGCTTGTGGTCCAGCACATTCAAATCTGTTTTGCAGAATGCAAGAACTGGCACGCAAACTCAACACGCCAGATCACTGCACACCCAATAATAGGGCATATAACCAGGTGGTTTCAATTGCCACTCACTGAGGTGCCTCCACAGCTGCCTGAAGCAAGTGACTAGCCTCCTTGTGTCGACCCTCCAACTCCAGCAGTTGGGCTAGCTGCACCAAAGCGGCAACCAAACCACGGTCCTTGACAGCCTCCTGGAAAGCGACCTCCGCTTCCTTGGACCTGTTCTGTGCCCAATGCACGCGGCCAATTTGACAATGGCAGGGCCCAACTCCCAGACCATTCGTGAGTGCAAAGTCCAGACTCTGCTGAGCAGTGTCTGCCGCCACTGCCTGCATCTCAGGCCTGTTACTCTGCAAAGCGCACTCGCTTTGGGTGATGAGCAGTCGCAGCACCATTGAGCCAAGGCATGCAGATGTGTCCGTGGAAGAGGTGCCAGCCCCCTGAAGATCACACATAGCAATGCATACAACTGTCAAAATATTCCTGATGAAATGCACTGTTAAATGGGGCTTGAATGGACTCGCCATGCAGCAACACCAATATCAATTCACAGGCCTTAACCTACAAGGTGCAAAGGCCCAGGTTTAATAAGTTTTCTACTTATGCAGGTTGTTCAGTAATCCCAATATCATGTACTAACTTGTAACCAAGGCACACCCTGACCATGTAGCATTTCTTCCCCAACTCACAAACTTCAGACAAGTACCATGATTCTGTGCCACTGAATCCATCGAGTTCTTCCTTGCAACTCTGAACTGCACAAAGATGGTTTTACTGAGCTCTTCAGTATTCATAGTCTTTGAGCCCTGCAGCAAGTCCAGTCCTTGTGTTCGATGCATATCACTCCACAGTTTTTGTTGCCAAGATGGTGTTAAGCAAAGACTAACAGTTCTGGATACAGGGTGTGAAGCCTAAACACAAAACACGACCCAAACCAAATCTCAAGTTGCCCCAGCCCCACCCTTCCATATTGAAATGCCCACCTGCAAAAGCACCAATGCAGTTCTGCAATGCTCACGGGCAACTGTGTAGCCATCAGCCCTTCCTCCTTGAACTGCCATCTGGAAAGACAGCAGTGCAAGCACATACCTGGCCACCACACTGGCAGGATGAATGTGGATACACTGCTGAATCTGCACAAAGGCCCTTTTTGTCCTTCCCTGCATTGATAGATGGCCAACAGCACTTGAAGCTCTCCCAATCATGGCAAAGATTGAAGCCCCAGCGGGTGCTTGCTCTCCATCCACAAGCAAAGGCCCATCAAGAGACAGAGCCTGGTATGGACAGAATGCCAGCGATGGAAGTGCGTACATCCTGGACTTCTTTAGACCCACATTTGCCAGCTGCAATCCATGCATCACCGATCTTGGATCGAGGTGTACAGCCTTCGCAATATGCCGAAGTGCCTGGACAGGCTGGTGCAGGCTGGACAGGTGCAAAGTCTTCAAAAGCAGGACATCAGTCCGCACCTGGAACTGATCTGTGCCTAAATTGTCAGTGTAGTCCGAACAGCATTTTTCTGCCCTCCCCAGTTTCTCAGGTTGTTTGTGAAATATGCAACCTGCAAGAAGACATAAAGATCTTGTGTTGACTCTCAGGTTGAGCAGCATGTGGAGACAATAGAAAACAGAATATGAAAATAGGAAATTTCAGCTATGCAGGGTGCAACCTATGAAGAAGGCCAGCAGGCCAGAAGACACCTGGTATGTGCGCCTGCCAGGTGCCCACATCAAAGCCACAATACGGATGGCAGAAATTAACCTTGAAAGCACAGAACCTTATGACTCTGGAAATTACACTTGACACGGGGGATTCGCCGGGCTTGTCACCTCTCCTAGCACATATCCTGCTCTTGAAATTGACTATCTTATCTCAATTCAAGTCAGCCTGGAAATGAGGAACACAGTCAACTTTGATGCGGACATTCATGTTGATCTACAGGAAATTTGCCATGATCGTTGAAGTACTCCTGCAAATCAAATGCATGGCAGCCCAGCCCAGATAACTGCAATCCAGTCACCAAGCGCCTACCTGCCACAACAGCCAGCGTAGCACGAGCAACTTGATGGCTCACTTCATCTGTTTGCTGAGAGGATTGGACAAGAAGCCTCTTTATCACATCTTCCACCAATCTAATTGCTTGGCCCAGGTTTCCTTCAGCGATGTGAAGATAAACAAGAGATTTCACCGTCTCAGACAGCAACGGTGCCGAAGAGTCAGTTGCCATCACCCTGGACAACATGTCCCTGGCCTTTGCACAGTTACCGGCCTTGGCCATTACAAACCACACCCATGCTTCAGTAAGAACAGATTCGTCAATTTCAACAGCACACAAACTGTGGGGCAAGTGTGCACACCAGCATCGCAATCAAATGTGCAATGCTGTTGTTTCTAGAGAGGAGTTACACATACAAGCTCATCCATGGGAATGGGTCCATCCAGGCAACATGTGGGTGACCAAACACAGCAGAGCAGCAGGAAAATGATGGCAAGCCATGGTCATCGTGCTCTGGAAAAGGCAATATCTGTGTGTCCTCACCTGAAACAATGCAAAAGCATAAAGGACCATTGCAGCTGGTTTGCGCATCAGTGTACCGTCCTGTTCTAGTCCATCATACAAAAGCACGCCATCCCTGATATCACCAGCTTTGCATAGGGCTCTTGCCAGATTCAGTTTCAGATCCTCATTTACTGCCATGTCTGAACCCTTTGCCTGCTCCATTTCTTGTGCCATTCTGAAAGAATGTGCAGCACTGTGATAGCTACCCCTTGCCTCTTGGCACAGACCCAGTGCATTGCAGGCTGCTCCATTTACAGGATAGTACTCAACAGCTTTCCGAGCAGCCAAGTAAACGGCAGGGTCATGTGCCCGGGATGAGGCCACGCCGCCAACGGCAAACCCCAAGATCGACTCAGGGCTACCGCCCAGCCCAACGGCGTGCTCGAAAAACTCCAATGAGCTCTTCATGGCAGTGGGGCCAAGTTTAGCCAGAGCAGCCATGCCTGAATTCCAAGAAAATCTGCATTAATGGATTCTTCAAACGCCTACCCTCACACACTTCAGGAAATGTCCAGCCCGATTACCAGAGCCAGCTCAGAATATACAGGTCAGGTCAACACAAAATTCAAGCAACAGCACTGGAAACAGATACACCATCTGTGCCAGCAAGAGTGCAAGTCCATGAAGTGTCCTGGAACAAAAGTTGCAGATTGCTAAAGCGTCAGCACATCCTGCATTCACAGCTATTCATTGCTCGGCCCAAGTCCACGAGAAGCCAATTCCACAGAACTACTGCATGGATCCCCATCCAGCAACCACATCAGAAGAAGTACAACCAGCTCTAAAGCATTGTAACTGTGCGACCCTTGCCAACACATGTACTTGTCATCTCCACACTTTTAGTCTTTTGCAGCTTCAACTAGTTCATCATCAGATCGTTTAAGACAACTGAAAGCCAGTCAACCGAATGCTGTGTTATATGCCTTTAACTTGTGCCAGGTCCCCACGTATTTTGATAGTGATAGCAAAGCAAGGCTTCAAATTCCAGACCCTTGCATGTGTTGCTTCCCTGTGCCTTTAGGTGCAACTGCTGCCATAAGATATGGCCAGGGTGCCAACCCCTCAGTGCAACACAAGAGAGTATCTGAGCTCTTCACCAGCGGCGCCACTAACACAGCTGCGGGTACAGGACAACATAATCACCAGCCAATCCAGGGGTCATCACAGTCAAACGCGGTGTCAATGTTCAACGCACCTTGCCACACAGCAACATTCTCAGGATCGTGGAATCTTGCATTCTCAAAGCACTTGTCTGCCATGCCTGTGGCACCAATAGCCAAGTACAATTGTCCCAATCCGACCCATGCTGTGACTTGCTTGGGATTCAACTGCAGCGCCCTTGACAAGGCATACTCTTGAACACCAAGGTCCTGAGAAGCATACCCCAAAGCTTCCCAAAGACCTGCTGCCCTCGGCTCCAATCTGATGCCTCCTTGAAGCAGAGATGCAGACAAAGATAACAATTTCTACACAATGGCAGAAGCGTATTGTTAAGCACTATCGTGGCACAAAATGACAAATGAACAGCTGCTCGTTTGCCTCACACTGTAATGTTATTTGCTAAGGTCATTGTCTTGGCATACAGCTCCACAACTCGACCTTGCCGAATGAACAGGCAATTTGCACCTGCCCTCCATATTTCTTGCAGAAGGCAAGTGATATGAAAACGACATATATGAGAACAGGTGTTCAGATTGAATGGCGCAAGAAAGGCAGAAAGCAGGAACTCGAATTCTTGTGCAAAAGCAGATCGACAGAATGTGGGTCCCAATGGACACATTGTGACCGACTTTTGGGAAGACAGTGCCAAGTCATCTGGGACCCAACAAAATAAGATCCATGGGAAAATGCCCGATGGCCTCTGCCCTCATTAACAAAGGGCCCAAACGAAATGGGGTCGAAGGAACATGACAGCTTGCAGTGAAACACACCCCTACAGATGATGAAACGTGCCCTATTGGGTCAATCAGAGGACATGTGTGGGGAGTGTTCATTTCTGTCTGGAATTGTAAGCATCCTACTATCCAGTAATCAGCTAGATGTTTTTTGTTGCCTTGGTGGCACCAGTGTGACAATGCACACGTATCCCAGCATAGCTATTGCTTCTCGCTTCGATTCCAGCAATAGACCGCTTTCCAAAGAATGCCACAGCCTGAAGCAAATGGCTCAAGAGTGCTGCTCCACAAGTAGGGAGGGAGGTTCAGACCAAGGCACACCTCTGATCTGGCACTGTCCATCTCCTGGATGAACATTGCCTGTCTATGGCATGCATGGGCAACGTTGCCCCACAGGTGCGCCTGTGTTGGGTCCAAGTGTAGAGCATGGGCGTATGCATATTGAGCAGCCTTGTGTGATTGTCGCTTCACAGGAGCGATGCACTGCAGCTCAAATTCTAGGTCGCCAAGCAGTTTCCAAGCACTCTGCAATGACATACGGCCATATCAAACAAATTTCAAGAACTACCACATGCAACCTGTGTGCAGCAGCGTACCCCTTGGCATCTCTTGCCAGAAAAGGAATGAACAAGGTAAGCACTGAAAGCACAAGCACTGCGTACTCGTGTTAACCACAGCCAACAATAGGCTTGTAAACAGCTGTAGTTGTGTACCTTGAGGTTTCCATGTTGCCTTGCACACTGCAGGGCAATTGACCTGGCCTTTTCTACCAGCATAGTTGCTGAACAAACTGCCCCTTGCTGAAAATCCTTGCGTGCTGAAGCCAGGTACGTTTGTCCCAAACCCAGAAGTGCAGGTGCAAAGTCTCTGCAGATATCGAGTGCAGCCCCAAAACCTTGCACAGCCTCTGTGAGCAGGCCAAGGTCAGATCGAAGTGATGCAGCTTGGGTGATGGAGAACAACCGCTGGCCACCGAGTTCAGCAGCATGGTCGAATGACTGCAACAATGCAACACATGCATCAACAAGCAGAACAAAAGTGCTTTTCTGGAATCTACTCCACATCACAAGACCCACAAAAAGGTAGCAGCTTGAAAGCTCATGAGCTTCAGGGTGCCATGATGGACACATGTCACGAGCGTCATGGCATTGCAACCTGCACAACTGACATCTGTCTCACAACTGTCACTGCACCTGTTGCCACAGACACCAACTCCATCATCAGCAGTGCCATTTCCATGTGAAAAAACATGCTTGATCAGCAAGCTGTCCACAGCACATACCTTCAGGGCTGCAGTTGCACGGCCCATTTGCTGATACGTGGCGGCCAGCTTCTCCCAGACACCGGCATCAGTGGGACGTGCACGCAGCACAACATGCATGGCCGCCATTGCCTTTTGGTGCTGCCCGGTCATCGAGTGTACTCGCCAGAGGCACTGCCATGGCCAAACGACCCGGGGATCCTGATTGGTAAACTCCTCACAGAACGACTGGAGCTTTTCGGGTGGTGTCTTCGCAGATTCCAGGATGGCAAATAAAGATGTGCCAGCATCTGCCTGCAACATTGCACATCCACAAACCACAGTTAGCAACCTTTTGCTGCAGTGCACTTGTAGTATCATAGTGCAGCTGCTGCATAGTACCACGAAACACCTAAACTTGCCACTGGTGCAATGCCTGTGCTTCTCAGTACCCAACCAAACTGAACTTTCTTAGTGACAGCCAGCACCAAAATTTTGTGCTCTGCATCGTAAAGTTCTTCTGATGACAGCACGAGTCCAGTGGCGGTGGTAAAATAAATTAAGTATGTTGCGTCAAGCTGTTACAACAGCCAGGTGGAATTTACAACCCTGCACTCTTTGCAACGCCAGAAGCCCATCGCCAGCATTCCCGTTGTGCGATGTTCAGCAACTGTCCAACAATACAGGCTGTAGGTTGACTGGAAGCCCAAATGCAGAGTTGCAAGTGACTGGGCTCCTGCAGCACCCATGCCAGTCAGCGTTGCATGCCCAGAAGTGCAAGCCAGTGTCTCCAGTACCACATGTTCTGTTCCTGCTCTATGTGAAGGCCAAGTAGCTGCCATTGTCTACAACACACGCAAAACGTTCACAGGCTTGAACACAACCGACTGGCCTATGAACAGGACAGCAGGTGACGAGATCCTTCTTCCCCTTGCAACAAGTCCAGATGGTGTCTAAACCACCAGGCAACTGCAATTCGCTGTGCTGTGGTATTAAGGTGGCTTAGGCATGTTTCAGCGGTTTAGCAGCAAATTACTAGCACAAGTGCCCAAACAGTGGGTGCAGCAAATCGAAGACAGCCTACTGAAATATGTTCAGCTATAGCATGACCAGTGTCCACTACTACTCCCATTCCAGGGCTTGCAATCAACTAAAAGGTCTGGCCCATATCCTCCTGCTCATTGTCGCTTTACCTCTTCACTGCTTCCTTGTATTTTATTGCTGTTGGTTGCAAGGGGACATCACATGATACCTGAATTGGAATGCTTGGCAAAGTCGAACAAAAGCCAACTTCTGCCAATCATTCCGACCAAATTTGCAATTCCAACTTTGTTGTTTCCCTCCTTTGCATTCACCAGTTCTGGCTATCCTATAGCTGCTTGTGCAATCTGTGTCAAGCTCAGTTGCAATCAATACTCATTCAGACACTGTAT